AATATATATAATTTTTGGCAACTTCCATTTTTCAGAATGTCACTTTTTCAATTCCATTTTACTCTGCACCTGTGCTACTTACAACTGTCATTAAAGGTGGTGATAACAATGCAAACAGCGATTGCTCCGTGAAAGGTCCCATAATCACTTGGCTGGAGGTGAGATGCTAAAAAATATCTAGACATTTATATAATTAGACCTAATATGGAAACCAGAAATTTTGTGAGACCAAAACAATTTGGGTACAGCCAAAGACAGAAATTAGTCAAAAAAAAAAAAAAACAGAAACCAAAATTTGGCAAGAGTACAAAATTAGTCAACCGCTCTAACATGAATTTTGGAGGGTTTTTACTAAGTACATGGGACAGCCAGGAAAAAAGTTAAAATCTAATTAAATAGTTTCAAAAACTAATTGAATATGTATTGTCAGGAAGATTGGCAAAAATTACAACAAAACTTTAAATGAAGATTTTCTTTTTGAACTGAATTAACCCAGAAAGTGACGTGTAGGTCTCTTCTGATAATAAGGCACGTTACACAAGACCACTATCTTGCAATTTTCCAACCTCTTTGGTGAAGCTAAAGGAGGACAACAGTCATTGAGTTATCCCCACTTAATGGTTTGAGGAAATGCTTTGACCTCATGTTTTAACAACAATATTTTCCCTTTCTTTCTTTTAAGGAAGTGACTACCTCTTATTTTCGAGTGTGTATAAAGGATAGTGCTGGATATGATGGTCAGAGAAGCAAAGTACTCGTTGATTATTTGGTTATCGGAGGTAAGATGTTATGATATAATTATCATTAAATTTACAAACTAAAATACATTTAGCTGATTTCGATGATGTTAGCCATCGCAAAAGTCATTGGGGTTTGGTATCGGGAAAAATATTAATAAACTCTCATCGAGTGGGTGCTCATAGGCATAAAATTCCAAGAATTACACAATTATATTAAGGAAACCAATTAATGTAAATTAAGTGCATATTATCTTCGATTATTCTTCATACTGTAACACCTTAAATTCTGGTACCTCAGTTTTCTGTAGGTATCAAGTAAATTTCAAACATTCATTTCCAGAACTGCAAAAGATTGGAACTAACAACCTTTCGATTGACGCGCTGGAAAAAAGGAAATGTTTTGTCTCTTTTCAAAGTAAAAAAAGAAACATTTCTTTGAAGATTTTAGTTTTATTTTAGCAATATTTCTAACCTTGAGACTGTATCGTTTGCAGATTGTAAAAGTTGTACTATTTTAAGATGTTAATAGCAAACTTAACCATTTATTGATTTTATTGAGGCATTTACTCATTTCATCGAGACCCACTTAAGACCGCCTTAGCGAGTTGGGTTCTCTTTTTAAATTTAGTGACATTATTATTATTATTATTATTATTATTATTATTATAATTACAATTACCATCATCATCGTCATCGTTCTATAAACCCTATCATCAATATTATTATATGGGGTGGAAGAGAGCTAAAAATATTTGTATCAGCTGTTTCCAATCTTCCGTCTACTGTAAACTCTACCGGTACCGTTATGTCCTGAAGTTTTTGTATCCAGCTTTTACTCTTAACAAATAAATATTTCACTTGCAGATCTCGATCCCTGTTTAAATGTAAGTTGCAAGTATCACAGCCATTGTGTAGCCTTGTCTCCAAACCGATCTACTTGTGCTTGTGAAAGCAGCTGTCCGTCATATGAAGAACAGGTCTGCGCATCTAACGGTCGCACATTTACCAACTTGTGCTTGCTTAAGCAAGACATATGTAAAATACGTGGGAATTATACCAAGTATCATCCTGGCAGCTGTATAGGTACATTATTAATGAAATCTAAAGTCTTTAAATTGTTTTAGCGTTTGTTTTAAGGCCATTTATTTCAGAACCTTATAGAAACTAAATTTCTTTTCCTAAATGTCTCACGCTCGATAAAAGTATTTCGCACTTTAATGAAAAAACCTTGCTTTGTTGCAAACATGTATCGTGAACAAACAAGGGGAATAATTTGCGCGTCTGCCGTTGCTCGCAGACCTTTCGAGAAGAGACTACCCTGGCTTAAGCACACTTAAGAAAACCATCCTGATAGATAGCTGTACTTTTACATTTTTATGGAAATGGTATACTCGTCTGCTAAATTATTGCCGTTGGACAAAATTTACCATGCCGTGTAATTTTGTAAGATATAATCCTAATACAAGACTCAACTCACTAACAACTTTTCAGTTGTCCCTCGGTGGTTGAGGCACCGACAGCGAATTTCGATGCTTTACCAGAGAGCTACATATTACGATGGTGATATGAACCATGACTCAAAATAATTTTTTTTTTTTTTTTTAACCGGTGAACTCAAAATTTCTATCTTCCTTATTCTAACAACAACTCTGTACTTTAGGTTTCCCTCTTCAGAAAGGAAGGCATCAATTCCCAAACGTTCCTTCCTGGGCAGAAGACCATTGTGAAGTCATCAAGTTTAAGCCATTC